ACGCCTTACACCCTGCCACTACCACGCCTTACACCATGCCACTACCACGCCTTACACCACGCCACTACCACGCCTCACTCCACGCCAATACCACGCCTTACACCATGCCACTACCACGCCTCACACCATGCCACTACCACGCCTTACACCACGCCACTACCACGCCTCACACCATGCCACTACCACGCCTCACACCACGCCACTACCACGCCTCACACCATGCCACTACCACGCCTCACACCACGCCACTACCACGCCTCACACCATGCCACTACCACGCCTTACACCACGCCACTACCACGCCTCACACACATGCCACTACCACGCCTCACACCATGCCACTACCACGCCTCACACCATGCCACTACCACGCCTCACACCATGCCACTACCACGCCTTACACCATGCCACTACCACGCCTCACACCACGCCACTACCACGCCTCACACCATGCCACTACCACGCCTCACACCATGCCACTACCACGCCTCACACCATGCCACTACCACGCCTTACACCATGCCACTACCACGCCTCACACCCCGCCACTACCACGCCTTACACCCTGCCACTACCACGCCTTACACCACGCCACTACCACGCCTCACACCCTGCCACTACCACGCCTCACACCACGCCACTACCACGCCTCACACCCCGCCACTACCACGCCTCACACCCCGCCACTACCACGCCTTACACCACGCCACTACCACGCCTCACACCCTGCCACTACCACGCCTCACACCATGCCACTACCACGCCTTACACCCCGCCACTACCACGCCTTACACCACGCCACTACCACGCCTTACACCTTGCCACTACCATGCCTCACACCATGCCACTACCACGTCTTACACCACGCCACTACCACGCCTTACACCATGCCACTACCACGCCTTACACCATGCCACTACCACGCCTCACACCACGCCACTACCACGCCTCACACCATGCCACTACCACGCCTCACACCATGCCACTACCACGCCTCACACCATGCCACTACCACGCCTTACACCATGCCACTACCACGCCTCACACCCCGCCACTACCACGCCTTACACCCTGCCACTACCACGCCTTACACCACGCCACTACCACGCCTCACACCCTGCCACTACCACGCCTCACACCACGCCACTACCACGCCTCACACCCCGCCACTACCACGCCTCACACCCCGCCACTACCACGCCTTACACCACGCCACTACCACGCCTCACACCCTGCCACTACCACGCCTCACACCATGCCACTACCACGCCTTACACCATGCCACTACCACGCCTCACACCCCGCCACTACCACGCCTCACACCATGCCACTACCACGCCTCACACCATGCCACTACCACGCCATACACCACGCCACTACCACGCTCACACCACGCCACTACCATGCCTTACACCCCATTACCACGCCTCACTCCACGCCACTACCACGCCTCACACCCTGCCACTACCACGCCTTACACCATGCCACTACCACGCCTTACACCCCGCCACTACCACGCCTTACACCACGCCACTACCACGCCTTACACCTTGCCACTACCACGCCTCACACCCCGCCACTACCACGCCTCACACCCCGCCACTACCACGCCTCACACCCCGCCACTACCACGCCTCACACCCCGCCACTACCACGCCTCACACCCCGCCACTACCACGCCTCACACCATGCCACTACCACGCCTCACACCATGCCACTACCACGCCTCACACCACGCCACTACCACGCCTCACACCACGCCACTACCACGCCTTACACCATGCCACTACCACGCCTCACACCACGCCACTACCACGCCTCACTCCACGCCACTACCACGCACACACTATGCCACTACCACGCCTCACACAACGCCACTACCACGCCTCACTCTACGCCACTACCACGCACACACCATGCCACTACCACGCCTCACACCACGCCACTACCACGCCTCACTCTACGCCACTACCACGCCTTACACCACGCCACTACCACGCCTCACTCCACGCCAATACCACGCCTTACACCATGCCACTACCACGCCTTACACCCCGCCACTACCACGCCTTACACCCCGCCACTACCACGCCTTACACCCCGCCACTACCACGCCTCACACCACGCCACTACCACGCCTCACACCCCGCCACTACCACGCCTCACACCATGCCACTACCACGCCTCACTCTACGCCACTACCACGCCTTACACCCTGCCACTACCACGCCTTACACCACGCCACTACCACGCCTCACACCATGCCACTACCACGCCTTACACCCTGCCACTACCACGCCTTACACCCTGCCACTACCACGCCTTACACCACGCCACTACCACGCCTCACACCATGCCACTACCACGCCTCACACCATGCCACTACCACGCCTCACACCATGCCACTACCACGCCTCACACCATGCCACTACCACGCCTTACACCATGCCACTACCACGCCTCACACCACGCCACTACCACGCCTCACACCATGCCACTACCACGCCTCACACCATGCCACTACCACGCCTCACACCATGCCACTACCACGCCTTACACCATGCCACTACCACGCCTCACACCCCGCCACTACCACGCCTTACACCCTGCCACTACCACGCCTTACACCACGCCACTACCACGCCTCACACCCTGCCACTACCACGCCTCACACCACGCCACTACCACGCCTCACACCCTGCCACTACCACGCCTCACACCCGCCACTACCACGCCTTACACCACGCCACTACCACGCCTTACACCCTGCCACTACCACGCCTCACACCCTGCCACTACCACACCTTACACCCCGCCACTACCACGCTTTACACCACGCCACTACCACGCCTCACACCATGCCACTACCACGCCTCACACCATGCCACTACCACGCCTCACACCATGCCACTACCACGCCTCACACCATGCAACTACCACGCCTTACACCATGCCACTACCACGCCTCACACCACGCCACTACCACGCCTCACACCATGCCACTACCACGCCTCACACCATGCCACTACCACGCCTCACACCATGCCACTACCACGCCTTACACCATGCCACTACCACGCCTCACACCCCGCCACTACCACGCCTTACACCCTGCCACTACCACGCCTTACACCACGCCACTACCACGCCTCACACCCTGCCACTACCACGCCTCACACCACGCCACTACCACGCCTCACACCCCGCCACTACCACGCCTCACACCCCGCCACTACCACGCCTTACACCACGCCACTACCACGCCTCACACCCTGCCACTACCACGCCTCACACCATGCCACTACCACGCCTTACACCATGCCACTACCACGCCTCACACCCCGCCACTACCACGCCTCACACCATGCCACTACCACGCCTCACACCATGCCACTACCACACTCACACCACGCCACTACCACGCTCACACCACGCCACTACCATGCCTTACACCCCACTACCACGCCTCACTCCACGCCACTACCACGCCTCACACCCTGCACCTACCACACCTCACACCATGCCACTACCACGCCTCACACCATGCCACTACCACGCCTTACACCATGCCACTACCACGCCTCACACCCCGCCACTACCACGCCTCACACCATGCCACTACCACGCCTTACACCATGCCACTACCACGCCTTACACCCCGCCACTACCACGCCTTACACCATGCCACTACCACGCCTTACACCCCGCCACTACCACGCCTTACACCCCGCCACTACCACGCCTTACACCTTGCCACTACCACGCCTCACACCCCGCCACTACCACGCCTCACACCCCGCCACTACCACGCCTCACACCCCGCCACTACCACGCCTCACACCCCGCCACTACCACGCCTCACACCCCGCCACTACCACGCCTCACACCATGCCACTACCACGCCTCACACCATGCCACTACCACACTCACACCACGCCACTACCACGCTCACACCACGCCACTACCATGCCATACACCCCACTACCACGCCCTCACTCCACGCAACTACCACGCCTCACACCATGCCACTACCACGCCTCACACCACGCTACTACCATGCCTTACACCCCACTACCACGCCATTTCACGCCTCACACCCCACTACCACGGCTTACACAATGCCACTACCACGCCTCATACCACGCCCTGCAACACCAGAACCTGCAACACCAACACCACCAACACCAACACCACCACCACCACCATCACCACCACCACCTCCACCACCCCCAACATCCCCTCCCCCCATGCCTCAGAAGCAGACCTCTCCTCTGCGTCCCAACTACCCCCCCCCCCCCATCCCCCTCCTATCACACCAACCAGCTCTCTTCCTGACCCCCCAGAATTCATCACCCAAAATCACATTAAAACAATACTTGATAATATGATACGAAATCATCCAGCGGTCCAAGAAATAATGCAAAGAGCATTATTTGCGTTCCCAACAGAACTTGGGAACGCCCTTTTAAAATTAATAGGACACAGGACCAAATCCTCCCGCTCCTGCTACAGCAGAGTCCATCATGTGAAGGGCCAACATGACAGAGTCTGGTACAAGGTGATGCAGCACAAGCTGGCATGGTATATGACAGCAGACACAACAATGGTTCCATAACATCAGTGCACAAAGTTCCCCCAGTGCACCTAGTAACACCAGTGCACTCAGCAACACCAGTGCACCCAGTAACACCAGTGAGCACAGGAACATCAGAGCACACTAACACTGGTGCACACAGTAACACCAGTGCACTCACCGGTCACCACAGAATATCTAATAACGAAAGTGAACATCATAATTATGCTGAAAGTGCATCTATTAGCAAACAACTTCAAACTAACGGGGAAGAACGTCTCACTATACTACAATGGATTGCAATGGAGTTCGCAATAGAATTAATGGCATCATACAGTACGCCCATGAACACCACATTGATGTGATAGTGCTACAAGAAACACTGGTGGGTGATGACTTCAACCCAAGATTCATAGGTTATCAGAAGTTCTCCCTTCCAGCTGGGGAAAGAAAACGGGGCCTCACTACCTTTGTAAGTAACAACATTCCTGCACAGATTATTGATGACCTCCACATGGGGGATGAGTATGAATCACTGGGGGTAACCCTTCACTTAAACAATAATTCCCTACATATAATCAACCTATATGTGCCGCAGAGTAAACTTGACCTTGACACACTACCTGAATTTGTTAATGAAGAACCTACCCTGCTGGTCGGTAACCTGAATGCCAAGCACCCACACTTTGGTGCCAACTGTCATCAGCCCAATGTCAATGGACGGAAACTGTCACTCTTTGTTAGGGGAAGTGTAAACCTTAGAGTCCTGGGTGATGAACAGCCAACTCACCTCAGAGGTGGAAGATTAGATTATGTTCTGCTGCTGAATGCACAGGTCACAGATGCCAGTACACACATTGTGCACAGTTCATGTAGTGACCACTGGGCACTGATTACCACAGTCGACATGAGCAAGGGAAAGAAAGAGACGAATAAAAGAAAAAGGTTATTAGTCGGACCAGATATGACGCTGCACTTCATAAACAAGATGAGTGACTGGTTCACGGAAAACCAAATCCCAGAAGACATTGATACATTTGTTGATGATCTTAATATTCAAACTTAGCACTGTCTCCGAGTTCCGCGCTGTACGCCTGGGCGCAGTAACCCTCAGTAATGCAAAAGTCGACTCAGGGCACTGAAAGCCATGACCTGGATGGACATGGAGCCTCTATTGGCGTCCTTAAAATGATGTTCACAGCCTATGTGCGCTCCCTCATAGACTATGCCGTACCAGTTTTATGCACCTACTCCGAAAGTAATATGAAAAGGCTCGAAAGCATTCAGAATGAAGCCATGACAATCATTCTTGGAGTTCCAAGAACTGCCAAAACGTCTAATCTACGAGAGTTGTTGTCCCTCCCCAGTGTTAAAAGCAGAATTAAGGAGCTGAATGCTAAGCTTGCAATTAGGATAGCCAGAGATCCCCAATACAATGATATTGCTAAGAAAAAACTGAGTTCTGTGCTATATTCAAATGGAAAGAAGAGAAGCAAAAAATGGCATCACAGATCAGTCTGCTACCTCGAAGAACTTCACCTGCTTGAGCAAGCCCGTGAGCTCCTGCCTGTAGAGAGGTTACCTCCCTGGGAGGATGACTCATGCAAGATCATCATCAATGAAATGGCAATGAAAAAATCCAACATGATTCCACAAGGAATGAGGCATAAGAATCTCGAGAAAATTTATAAATAAGCCGGAGATGAACTAGATCAAATGTACACTGACGGGCCATCTAATCCTGTCAATGCAGGGCTGGTGCAGCATACACTGTAATTAAGGATAATGCTTTCCAACGCAGAAATGAAGAAAAAGCGCGTATTGAGAACTATGCCTCTTCAACGCAAGCAGATTTAAATGCCATTGTTATGGCGTTAAGATTTCTTAAACGAAACACTAACGATTCAGTGATTTGCACTGATTCAAAAGCAGTACTTCAAAACCTAAATAAAAATCGGGCAGAAAATCTTGCAATAGTCGCTGAAATTAAGAAAGCTGTGAGAGTACTTACGAATCAGGGAAGAGTCGTCAAGTTTCTGTGGATTCCCTCCCATGTTGGAATATGGGGGAATGAACGAACAGATGTGCTGGCTGCTGAAGGCGCTGAAGGAGACCATATTGAATATTTCATACCCAAAACTCTACTACAAGCTAGAGGTATTGTCAGGCAACATCACCGTGACAAGGTAACTGAGGAAAGGAGGATATAAGCACAAACCAGTGAATCTGTACGATGGTACAACATGGTTGCAGCTGGCAATCCCAATTATTATGGACGAAGAGGAGGACGCCGGAGAGAATCAGTAATAGCGAGAATCCGTCTTGGATACAAATATCCATGGAGATACGGAATAGAAACAACTGTTGATCAGCGAAGATGCAGAATCTATGATGAGAGTGACGGACAACGCCTAGATCACTATCCACGTGAATATGAACACCTGAGAGACATTAGAAGTATGTGTAGAATAATAAACCCCACATTGTTTGAGTTAGGAAAACACTATTTGTCAAATACTGAAACTGTTCATAAAAGATTTCCCCATTTTGCACCCGCAAGATAACGTAAGCTTTTAAGGGTTGATGTTAATCTTCTTGTTTGAGGAGCTGTTCACTTGAGTCAGTTAAGCAAGTCTCAGCTGTGTCTGGGTACAAGTGACAGGATGAATAACCCAGCTGGTTTTCTTCCTTTTAGGGAGTGTTGTACATGCTGCTTTGGCGGTATGTCCACCCACAAGATGAGTTGCGCTGCCCAATAAACTCAACCCTTGGGGCAAAATTAAAAAAAAAAATTATCCACCACCACCTCAGCAACACCCTCACCAGCAACACCATCAGCAGCAACACCACAAACAGCAACACCACCACCACCAACTCCAAGACCACCAAAGCCACCTAAGCAACATCACCTCAGCAACACCATCACCAGAAACACCACAACCACCAACACCACCATCAACAACACCACTACCAGCAACACCCCCACCACCACCAGCAACACCACCACCAGCAACACCATCACCAGCAACACCACCACCACCCCAGCAGCACCACCACCAGCCACACCATCGCCAGAGAACCACCAACACCACCACAACCAACACCACCACCAGCAACACCACCACCATCATGCTAGTGGGGACTAGTGTGTGTTTTAATGACATTGTACACCATGCCAGTGGGGACTAGTGTGTCAATTGAACTTGCATTGTACACAACGCTAGTAGAGACAAGTGTAGCAGTTGTTTCGGATTTGTACACCATGCTAGTGGGGACTAGTGTGTTACTTGTACTGCTATTGTACACCATGCCTGTAAGAACTAGTGTGTCAGTTGTACTTGCATTGTACACCATGCTACTGGAGAGTAGTGTGTCAGTTGAACTGGTATTGTACTCAATGCTAGTTCGGACTAGTGTGTCTGTTGTTCTGCTATTGTACACCACGCTAGTAGAGACAATTGCGTCAGTTGTTTTTGATTTGTACACCATGGTAGAGGGGACTAGCGTCAGTTGTACTTATATTGTACACAATGCCAGTGGGGACTAGTGTGTCATGTGTACTGGCAATTGACACCATGCTAGTGGGGAGTAGTGTGTTAGTTGTACTGACATTATACACCACGCTATTAGGGATTAGTGTGTCAGTTGTACTGGCATTGGCCACCACGCTAGACTAGTGTGTCAGTTGTACTGGTATTGTAAACCAGGCTATTGTATACTAGTATGTCAGTTGTACTCGTATAGTAAACCCTGCTAGGGGGGACTAGTTTGTCAGTTGTACTGGCATTGTACATTATGCAATTGGGGGACTAGAGTGTCAGATTAATGGATATTGTACACCATGCTAATGGGGACTGGTGTGTGAGTTGATTTCGTATTGTACTCTTTGTTAGTTGGGACTACTGTGTCAGTTGTACTGGCATTGTTCACCATGCTAGTGGGGATTAGTGTGTATGTTGTACTGGCATTGTACACCATTCTATTGGGGGACTAGTGTGTGTGTGTCGTAAAGGCTTTGTACACAATGCTTGTGGGGACCAGTGTGTCAGTTGTACTGGGATTGTTCTCCATGCTAATAGGGACTAGCGTGTCTGTTGTATTCGTATTGTACACCACGCTAGTGGGGAATAGTGTGTCAGTTGTCCTGGCAATGTACAACATGTTATTGAGGACTAATGTATCAGTTGTACTCGATTTGTACACCATGCTAGTTGGGACTAGTGTGTCAGTTGTACTAGTATTGTACACCAGGCTAGTTGGGACTAGTGTGTCAGTTGTACTAGTATTGTACACCATGCTAGTGGGGACTAGTGTGTCAGTTGTACTAGTATTGTACACCATGCTAGTTGGGACTAGTGTGTCAGTTGTACTAGTATTGTACACCAGGCTAGTTGGGACTAGTGTGTCAGTTGTACTAGTATTGTACACCATGCTAGTGGGGACTAGTGTGTCAGTTGTACTAGTATTGTACACCATGCTAGTTGGGACTAGTGTGTCAGTTGTACTAGTATTGTACACCATGCTAGTGGGGACTAGTGTGTCAGTTGTACTAGTATTGTACACCATGCTAGTTGGGACTAGTGTGTCAGTTGTACTAGTATTGTACACCATGCTAGTGGGGACTAGTGTGTCAGTTGTACTAGTATTGTACACCATGCTAGTTGGGACTAGTGTGTCAGTTGTACTAGTATTGTACACCATGCTAGTGGGGACTAGTGTGTCAGTTGTACTAGTATTGTACACCATGCTAGTTGGGACTAGTGTGTCAGTTGTACTAGTATTGTACACCATGCTAGTGGGGACTAGTGTGTCAGTTGTACTAGTATTGTACACCATGCTAGTTGGGACTAGTGTGTCAGTTGTATTAGTATTGTACACCATGCTAGTGGGGAATAATGTGTCAGTTTTACTGGTATTTATTGGGGTTGGTGTTGTCGTTGATCCTTCTTTATGGACAACCCAACCCAAAACTCGGTAGAGTGCTTATACTTTACCAGGAGATCACACTGGGCGCTTCTAGCTCCTGGAGAGGGGCTCAATGTCACATGATTAGGGGATGCCGCTCCAATACTTATCCTCGTTGTCACGTGCACACACCCACTCGAGCCACTGTGACTCCCCACTCTCTCCTTATGTGATATGATCTCCTTAATCCCCTTTGACTTATTATTATTCCGTTCTACCCTGTCCACAGCTGTGGTTCTAGGTTTTTTCTCTCACTCTCCTTCTTTCCTACTTCCTGGGAAGCCTCACTAGGACAAGGCCAAGCACCAGGAAATTTGAATACATTTACTGGACAAAGCACATACACAATACATACACATATATAATAATAATAATAATGAATCCTACACTATATTATTTCAGTCAGGTTGCACTCCACCACCATCAGAACTCTATCATCTGCTTATCAAGTGGTATCCTATCTCCTGATTCACCACCTAATACTACCAACTTTCTCAAGTAATTCAA